AGCCTGCACGTCAAATGAAGCAGCACTTAATTAACAGGCGTGTTGGTAGTTTGCAAAGCTGTCAGAATAAATCCACCCCTTTCCCCCCAGGGACACCCCCGTCCACGCTCAGAGCTCTGCAGCAGAGAGGAACCCTCCGGGGCAGCAGCTCGGGGCACAGACGCTCACCCATCGGCTCCCCCCAGGCATGGGACAGCCGGGGATCCTGCCCATCCCAGGGGGCACAAGCAAACACCCCAATCCGCACACGTGCCTATGGCTTTTTGCAATAACCGCTGGCTTTGCCTGGGCCCTGGCTCACTGCCAGCGCAGGCAGAGTTTGCATTCCTCTCCCCACATCTCTTCTGAGCAGCCCCGGGCTGCTGCACATGGGGGGGCTCGACAGCCAGCCCCCAGACACACGGACGCCCCCTTGCACCCCCCTCACGTGGCTCCGCTCACCATGGGGCAGCTCTCCAGCCCAGGCTCCGGCAGAGCGCTGCTGCTTTTCCCAAAGACTCATATTTCTTTTTTTCCTCCTCAATTAAGGGCCGGAGTGACAGCATCCGAGTGGAAAGGCGGGAGGCAGGGAACAATGCCTGCTCAACAGGCTGGGAGGGGAAGGCCAGCAGCGTGATGCCCCAGAGGACACGGCGATGCCCCAGGGAGCTGGGGACAGAGCGGCTGCAGCAATCGGGGTCTGGGGGAAAGGAGGGCTCGGAGGTGCGGGTGGGGGCTGCTGGGCCCCCCCGAGCTCCGGTAACAATCCTGGGCTGCTGCAATCAACAGCAAAAGTGCAGGAGGCTTCATGGCTTGGCAGGGGATCTCTAAGCTGCTCCTGGGGCTCCAGCAAGGAGTCGGCTGCTCCAAACCTGATCCCCTGGGGCAAGGGGTGGTGAGACACTGAGAGCTGCAAAAACAAGGCGGGGGGGCTGGACAGCAGGGAAATGGAGAGGGGAGGACAAAGCCAAGGGCCAGCGGTCCACCCGGGGAGCAGCGGGGACAAGCCAAGGACCCTCACTGTGCCACCTCCAGGGATGCTGTGGCTGGTGACAGCATGTCCCAGGCTACAGCTGTGCCAAAGAGCCCCAAACATAAACATCTTTGCTGCTGGGGGCGGGGGGGGGCACAGATTACAGCCTCCGGGGTCACATGGAATGCTCCCGC